AGTTATTCTAAGTGCATTTATGTCGCTAGACACTATTGTGGCCTCCTTAAGCATTTGCGCAGAGGTGTGTTTCCCGTAGTATTAGGACCAACCCACCCTTTCTCCTTTCTCTTCTCAATCACTGTAGATGAGTTTGCCAGTAACAATGTTACTTTAGATGTGCTAATTAGTAATGCCAAAGTTGTGGGTACTTGTAGTATCGGTTGGCGAAGATAAAAGAGTTCTCGTGTGAATATAGAAAGGTAGATTGACTTTATTTTTCATTTGGAAGTAGTAAATGCAGAATTTTACAAATAACAGCATACTAAACACTCAATGTCCCACAGCGGGTGCTGCAAGTGTTCACCACGAACTTCGGTACGCAAATCAGCACGTTTTCGCGTATCTTAGCCATACTGTATATATCTGACTATGCTTAATCTGGAGTATCTCGATTCCTGAAAGCCTTTCTCAAACACCACTCTGAAGGTCTGTTAATTACTAGCTATGACGTATCATTACCAGTATTAATTTGTTTTCTAATCTGGCCAAACTAATTACTACTATTACTGGGTCACAATTTTGTTGCGCCACGTGAGTAGGGCTTTCTGCTGCTAACTTTAATTTCCGCAGTATTAATCTAAAAATGCTTAAGCGTTATTTCAATAAAGGGGTTTGAAGTGGGACAGAAGATCTCTTTATTGAGTACAATGATATATATTTATTTATTTGAGGGTATTTTTACTGCCATTGTAATTGCCTTTTTAAATAGAAGGGGAATATTTAATGTCTTCCTAAAATTGTGCATTTGGAATAGCATTCTGGAAATCGAATGGAGAAAGTTATTACCGAATTGGGATAAATGCGATTAGTGCTCCTTCCAGTATGTGGACCACTGGCGTAGCGGTTAATATGTACCCCGTCTAATTAGAAATCACGAGAGTACCACCTGCCCCATTGCTAATCCATTATTTCGAAAGACCAACCAACTTAATTATTACCTGTTAATTAAAATCAGGATAGGTAGTTTGAATGTTGTGTTTTACTCAAGATGAAAACACTGGATTATCTTTAGATCTATGGAATCAAATTTATCATGTTATGGGGCCATTGTTTGATATTTTCAGAACGTGGATAGCAGTATGCAGCTCCTCTTGGTTCATGTCAAGGAGTTGGAGAATCGTAATTCCGCTGACATCTATACCGATGACTTCAACTCCACCCAAACTTTGAACTTCAGACGCTTCTCGCCTCCGATCAGTATGAATGTAAGTTTACCTCGCCAAGTAATTCAAAAATGGATGAGAACTTGGAGTTTGCTCGTTTTGGCGTAATTTGAATCTTCTCGTAAAAATTTTAGATTATGATAATTTATACCTTTTATAATTCTTGTTTTGAATTTTTATCTTCGTTAAGCGCTTCATAGGCTCCTTTTTCTGGGTACTTGTATTGTCCCGTATAATCAAGTTAGAGCGTATATATATATATATATATATATATATATATAAGCAATTTAAAACAGGGCGCTACCGTTGAATTCGATTAAACAAGAGCATAAAAGTATACTTCCCGGGCACAGTAGGCAAAATAACTGTTTTCCTTCCCAATCGGTGCAATTGGCACTACGCAGCCATTTTATATAATCTTCCGCTTAATCATATGAACTGGTGGCGACACAATAAGAAAATACGAGGAGAGTTGGGGTTAAATGAGGTTTTCGAAATCCATGCAGCACCCGTGGGGTAACAGCAATCTCAAATCACATAAACAATTGAATTATTTATATACCTGTATTTCTTTGGCAATATTTACATGAGAAAAGCACCTTTTTTCTCAATTTCCCATGCGCATTCATCTGCAGCTTCTCAAATCATGACCTCGAAACTTATTTGATATTTGTTGATGGTCTTCACCGCAATTTTAGTGAAGGTTTTGTAGTAATCCTTCGTCATCTTTGCATTCGATGTCCTCATTTTTAGATTTAAATTATACCAATAGCTTGACATGTTCTTAAATATGAATATGGCGCGTGACTCATTTTCGAGTGATACCTTTCCATCACCCCTGTACACCTAGAGATGTATTTATTTATATCAAATGGCAGGCTTTATGATAGTTATCATTAGCCCTTTAGTTGACTTCAGGCTTCACAGAGGGAGAGGAACATCAAATCGAAAAAGTCGAGAAGTGGAGGGGGGGGGGACAGAAGAGTGTTTTAAAGATGTAAAAGAGACAGACACAAAGGTATATGGAAGGCGAGGTGAGTACTGTGGAAGAAGTCGACAATGACATACAGTGGGGTGATGGTAGTTTGAAGTGAGAAGTCAACTGCTGGTTTATAGAATTTTTGTCATATGAGCATACGTTGCCCAGGGTGCACCACGTGGAGGTAAGTCTATCGCACCTAGAGATGTTGAATTTCCCTAAAATAATCAGCTTGCGATACTACAAAATTATATCCGGTGACGCTCCAGGTTCTAAGAATGCAGAAATCTCTGTACTGAGCAATGTCGGTCTTTGATATTGTAATAATGTCTGATAAGGGTTAAGGTATAGAGACAAGGTAGACAACAAATTTTGTTTTATGGTTTCGAATTGTACGGTGTTCCATTGAGCTACTTTTGTGGTTTATTTGCTGCTTTCGCAGAGAATTTATTCTCGCGGAGGTGAGAACTTACTGATTATGGGTTTATTCCAGCTAGTTGATCTCTCTCTTCTGAGAAACCTTTATTCTCTTATCCATGCAGCTAACATACAATGGTACAATTATGCTGATTATTAATTCATTTTGTCTTTTGGTGCATGTATGAACCGATATCAGGATTTTTTCTATCTAACTATCGATTTTTAATCAAATGAAGGTGTTTATTGAATGTTAAACGATTCTCGGACATCTTGGGCGATTTATTTGCATTAAGTCAATTGATCAGATGCGATGCCTGGCTGTCAAGTTAGCATTTGCTGAAGTAAAGGGGAAGTCATTGTCATTGTCTTTTGAGTATTAAAGGACCTTATGGATCTAAGTATTAGAGAGTTCAGTTGAATTATTGACCTTCATTTGCCAGCATTGACCATATTTAAACGATTGTGGATTTAGCTATTCTCATTTATAGGGTTATTGACCTATTTGCAGGCATAAGCCCAGGAGTTGCAGCTAGTGGAATTAAGTTAAGTAAAATGTCAATAAAGTATCTATTTTTATAAGTTACACAAATTTAATATCATAGGGATACGTCACACTTATGAAGTCTCACATTATATGTAACATTGTGCAAGTAATTGTAAATGGGAAAGGTAGCCGCATAATGCTGTGCACTATTATTTGTAAAGTGGTATAATTTTTCGAAACTTTTAATCACATTTATCATGATATAGAGATGGGAGAGATAGTTAAGAGCTTAAATTGGGGAACATGGGCAGCCCGGCTATTTGCTTTCTCAGTTTTTAATATCTTCTCAACAAGCCTTGAAACACACAATTTGAATGAGTTTTTTTGTGTTGCTTTCTAACACGTGCCTGGCAAGGAAGGCCACTAATTGTCAGGTCACCTTTGGTTTTGTGGTGATTGATCCACCAGTGCCCAATCCTCCCACACTAGTTGCGATAGTGTTCGATGAGTTCTCTTTCCCGCGCACATCTTTCACTTTTCTATTGATATTAACTAATACAAATTATCGATCACTCATATTTTTTTGTCATCCTAACTACAATCGGCTGACGAGATCTCACTAGCATTTTGTCCACTCCATCACCACCTATGTGAACATTTACCCATGGCTTAGATCTCTTCATTTGCCCTTTTTTGGGGCAAATTCTAAGTTCGTATTGTAGCATTAGCCTACCTTCTCATCTGAATGCATTATATCGCCCAACAAGTATCATGCATAATGATAACTGTGCCTTCAATATTGGCATTTACCTTTTCTACTTAAAAATGTCTCTTGACAACAAATAATTTTAGGCAATCACCGGGCCTAATTATAATTTGCCCAAGAACTTTATATCGCCTTCTTTAAGGATTCCATGCCTGCGCCGGTGTTTGACCCTGACCTTAAAGGTAATCTATGCAGTTTCTCATTCGTTCAATCAATTAAGGTAAATTGTGCACCAATCAGTAGTAATAGTATACATTTCTGCTTATATCTACCAATGTAATTTCGTTGAGAACAAATTATTATTATTATTGTTAGCGTTGACAAGACGAAAAACTTACTAATTTTAATCATGCATGCATTGGTATTTGAATACGCGATGTAGTAACATAGTTGAAACAGACTTTAACGTTATTTGTAAACTGGAAACATTGAGTTGTCCACTTTATCAAAAGGGATATGATTTTCTATGTAATAGCCGGGTGTTTTTGAATGCTATTTTCATAATTTAGTTTGCAAATGTTTATATATATATATATATATATATATATTATTGACCAGTTGAGTTATTGTAATCATTAGTCATTCCATTTGAAATCATTTTTCCTTAATTCATCCACGATCTGGTAAAAGCTGCATTTTAAACAAAACTTGAAAAGTTTGCTTAAAGTCTCATTTTTTCTTATTTATTGTTGAGAACTGTCTGATTCTGAAAATGTGGCTAAATCGATCACAACAGAGTGGTCGGGGGTTTAATGTCTATGTTTAAGTCTCGTATTGGGTAGAGGAATGCATAGTTTTTGATATAATACGTTTAATTAGTTTATTTAATGATTCATTTATATCAAATGGCAGGCGTTTTGGTAATTATCATTAACCCTTTAGTTGATTTCAGGCTTCGCAGAGAGAAAGGAACATTAAATTGAAAAAATTTGAGAGGGGGTGGGCAGGAACAGAAGAGTATTTCAAAGATGTAAAAGAGACAGACACAAAAGTGGAAAAAGGTGAGGTGAGTACTGTGGAAGTAGTCGAATGTGACATACAGTGGGATGATATTAGTTTGAGGTCAGAAGTCAACTGCCGGTTAATAGACATTTTTGCCGTATGAGTATACGTTGTCCAGGGTGCACCACGTGGAGGTAAGTCTATCGCACACCCCAGTTTTCGATATTGCGTTTAATTAGTCTAGAACGAGGCAGTGTTAGCCGAAGAATCTATCTCGAAGCTTAAAGTCCTTTTGACTTGGTAGTATGTAAGCTTTCCTAAAAAAACACCTTCATTTTTTGGTGATTTTAAAACCCGCTTCTAGAGTGTAGAAAGCGCCTAATATGCATTGCACAAGTCCGTTCTATTCCAACTTCCTAAATTCAAATCTAATTTCTTGAGACTCCTTTTTTAACCAAAATAGAACATAGTGGTGTCTAGTGACAATCATTTTAGATAGAAGGGTTTGATTGTGTGCCTCTTACTATCATTGCATGCACATATATACATCTCCCCTTGTGGTATATGTGTGGGCATTTCGTGAAAAATACTAACAACACAAAAGCCATCACGTGCTAATGCGAATATGTATCGCCTATCTATGAGTGTGCTTAAAACCCACAAATTGGGAAGAATTGGCTCAAAAATACTTTTCTTTTCTTGTTTTTCCCGAAAGTGTTTCTCTTACTATGTATATTGCATATACATTGATGTCAAGAGTGTGGGTTTGATTTAACTTGCCACCGCAATGGAAATGTGTTTCTCAGCTCTATTCAAGTTGAAGTAATGTTTGAAATACTCTCCCATAATCGTTTTATTTCTTTTTCATTGAGTGCCATAGCCCTAAGTCGTATCGGTTTATCCACTTTGGCTGGATATTTCCTCACAAAATGGTTTCCCAAAATCTAGCCAGAAGCGCGCCTCATTCTCAACTTACTAAATCAAGAATTGTTTTGATCATGAGAATGAAATGAAAAAGAAGGAATGGAATACTCCGTTCGTCAGTCCAGTAAATAACAGCCAATAGTCGTTTGACGATTTGGGGAGCGCAGAGTCTTGTCTCATCAGACGAGATGAAGTTCCATTTTCTCCTTACTCAACGTGTGTTCACTTCCTCCTGCATGTAGGTTTTTGTATGTAATTTAGAAGATGAAATTTAGTTCACCCTCATTAATTGCGATCTGTCCATTAAATTGTGAAAGGCGTGGGTGTGAACTTTCCTAATCCATTTCTTCTTTAGCTATACGGCGACTAAGTTATTAATCTTCTTTATCATTGCAAATAATGCGGGGGTGTGCATGAACCGGGTGTCAAAACTCGTTCCTCGCATGTATATATTACGCATCAATGGGCAGTTGACTTCTGACTTCAAACTGCCATGATCCCACTGTATGCCATATTCGACTACTTCCACAGTACTCACCTCACCTTTTTTCTACCTCCATCTTTGAAGCACTCTTCATTCCCCCCCCCCTCTCGACTTTTTTCCACTTTGATGTTCCTTCGCCTCTGCGAAGCCTGAAGTCAACTAAAGGGCTAATGCGAACTATCAGAACGCCTGCCATTTGATAAAAATAAATAAATATTACACATTAGAGTCAATAATCCAGACTGGTCTTGATTCACCCCTCTGGGGGAAACATGCGAAGACTTTAGTATTATTTATCGGTAAATTCTCGAACGATGTAACGATGGTTAGTCGAGTTTGATCCTAAAAAATCGGGTTTGGATTGTTTTCATTGCAATTTGTCTTTTGAAATAATCCTCTTTGAGTTCTTTTCAAGCCCTTTTTTAATAAAATTCATTATTTACAGACAGATTAAGTTAGCACCTATTATTAGGCACAGCTAGGATCAGAGACAGTCACGTAGTGTTCTCAAGGCAATTAGTTGGCTTCCGTGAAGGGAGCTTTAAATTCTCTCGTTTATTTATGGTCATGTTTTATTATTCAACTCTCTGTCACTTGAAAATGCGCTAATTTGAAGAAAG